ATTTGCGTATTTTAAGCGTCCACTGTGACATTAGAGCATGTTCAGCGGTTTCTAAGGCATTTTTAGCGTCCTTTCAACATGGCGGGTGTTGTGGCATGATTCGTAAAAAAGAGAAAAGCAATCGATAGTATCTGGCGTTAAATAAACTCGTAATTGATCTACTTGTCTTAATTGATCTAATTTTAGAAGGTAAGACTCATATTCTTGATGTTTTGAGCAATATTAGACTATGGCCATTGGTTTAATGTTTTTTCTGTAGCATTTTAAATCCTCTATCGAATGATGTATTTGTATTTGCATTTGGATAATAATTATATATAATTTAGTCCAAAGTGACGAGGGCAAAGTGGTACGCCTCATGTTTTTGAAGCACTTATTACCCTTCTATTATATTTGATTTTTTCATTGATATTAGAAGATAAGTTTACATACAATGGCATGTTCAGTGGTATGATAGGGTACAATCTATTAGTATTTACTAAATATATTTGTTATTTACCTCTTTGCAGTTTGTATTATAACAATAATTAGGTTATGCTATACAAGTTCCCTTAAATTTCTTTTAGTTAGGCCACTATTTGTTGAATATTAGTTTCTCATCCCCCGCCCGCATGCTTTTTTAGACGACAGTCTTTTTCGCCATTATTGCCATTATGGCCATTTTTGACCATTATTATAAATTTTGTGAAGTCTTCAGACTCTTTTCAACTAAATTTATTGAGAGAAAGACTATTAGAAACGTTCGCAAACCAAATGTTTTTATAATACTAAATGCGAATTGTGAAATTTCACGTACCGGAAGTTCCAAGGAGAAAGACGCGAAGTGACCTGGGTACAAATTTTACATTTTGCCAGGTGGAGCAGCAATGTTTACAGTTTTTAATATATAAGAAAACATATTTTACAAGTCAGTAATGTGTTTTGTAATGTTAAACTACAGTGTGTACTGCAAAACAGCTCGGAGATTCTTTGTTCAGTGGAACATAGGTTTAGTAGAACCTGCAGTTGCCACTTTTCGTGGATTTTTCACAACGACTGTTCTCCCGCGAATTCCCGATCCAAACCAGGAACTTGAGCAGACTTTTGTGGGAAAAAGTAAGGAAAAACTCGATGCTGTCGACTCTGATATGCGTGTGACAGATGTCACTTCATTGTTTGGGCCCTATGTGAAATTTGTGACGGAGGAAATCGGTGGCAATCAACCTGTGGCAGGTAATGTTTATAGTTTTTAATTTAATTTTTGATACTCTACTCAGCTACTTTATTAGCACGAGATCCAAAATTCTTCACATAATTTTCGCAAAAATTCCTTAAACTATAGTTTATCGACGGTGGTACTCCCTTATCCTATTTAATATGATACACAGTAACTATCCACTGCACGAAGGATGTCCTTCAGAAGTGAGCGCCTGTGTCAACTTCTTTTCACAGTTATTCTTTTCACTTCTATTAATATATAGATATTGATGGAAGTATATTTCTATATCCAGGTTCAAATGCAATCCGTATGCTTATGGATAGTGCTAGATCCTTACAAGCACCTTCACTGCCAAGCCGGATCACAGAAGTAAGAAACCAGAAGCAAAAACTTCACAACGATGTTATTGAATTTTTCGAAGGACGACAACTGAAGTGGAAAAACAGTGAAGTCACGGGCGTGGGAAATTCTTTTTTGAAATCCATGATTGATACACTATGGTACTTAGATGGTCATCACCACGTTTTATGCAATAGAGGTCACAAAATTCCTGAATCGATGAAGCAATTTACCGGGTACAACACCCCCGAAGTTTCCAAACACCGAAAGAGAAGCCTACAAAATCTGTCTGAAATTACGCTTCGGGAGTTATCCAATAATCTATTTACGCGATTGCAAGATACTTTCTGGGATAGAGGTGGTTGGAAAGATTTCAAATCGGATATAGAGACTCTAGCTACCTCGATTTCTGACTATGCTGCCTACTTAAAGGAACAGAGTAAGAAAACAAAACACTTACAGTCCTTAACAGAACCAGTGCGTTCAATTTCTGATAATCTGGAGGTCCGATTTCTTCCGCGGAGTGAAGGTGCTTCCTCTCTTTTCAATCAACTGGAAGCACTCCTACATGAAAAAGATGATTTCCAGCATATAGTATTGGAGGAGGTGTGTCCTACTGATCCTCGTCGGAAGTACGATTATCTACAGGCACTAAAATCAAGTGGTCTTGGTGTGAAGGCTGCCATGCTTACGTACAGGCATGGCAATAACATTGGGAACACTACCTGCGTTTGGAAAGTTCCTACACAAGATCCTGATGCCTTATGCCAAAGCCAGCAAACAATTGAAATCATCAAGGAACAAATTCCTACATATCACACAAGAGCAATGCGCCAATCACTGGTGCAGAAGTATGGAAGAGTTGCCCCAACGATAAAGCCAGCTGTTCTGCGTAGCCTCTACCGCGAATTGACAGGTGACAGCTCTACTGCTACCAATGAACACACAGCAGAAATTGATGAAAGAACTCGACTTATTCTGGATATGGAAGATCCCGATGTTGTTCTTGATTTGAGATCTTTAAATGCGGGACATAAAAGTCAATATGATGTCTTTTGGGACGAATGCAAAAAGTTCTTAGAGGAAGAAGTGGGAACACCTGTAGATGACAGACGGCATGACCAAGTGGTGCACCTTGCTCGAGCAATATCAGCTAGAGATCTCCTTGATCAAGTGAAAACCAGATGTCCAGAAGGTACCAAAGTACCTTCGGAACCGTGGCTTCGACTTCAATTTTGGCCAAAGTCACAGCACGCCCGATCAAAGATCCATTACACCGGAAAGTTGAAAGTCAAATTCATGGTTCCGGCTCGACAATTCAGAAAAAGTCATCCTGACGCTCACTATGCTGCCGCGCTTTTCAGATACCAGCTTGAGTTGGCTGTGAAGTTCAGGTCACACAGCAACTTTGCGTGCGTTGACGATAAACATCGCGTAAAAGTTGGAGAACCAGGATTTGCCGTTGCTGCGGCGGAAAGAGGACGGAGAGTACTTGTCAATCTTAACACTTCATATCAAGGTGGTGATCATGACTTTACTCAAATTAGCATTGTTCCTTCTGTCTGCTTCTTGGTAGATATTCCTGAAGCTGTAGAGTCATCATGGTACACTGGCCAAGTTGTAGTAGGCTTAAAGGAAGGTGCTTTTGAGCCATCCAGTCCTGCGAGGCACTGCACAGAGCTTGGCAATATACTGTCATCAAGGAACCTGCAAACCAAACCCATCTTGTTCCTCTACAGTGACGGTGGACCAGACCACAGGCTCACATATCTGTCTGTACAGATGTCATTGATATCATTATTCTTAAAATATGATTTGGATTTCCTGTGTGTCGCTCGTACAGCACCATTTCACTCATGGAGAAATCCCGTAGAGCGCATCATGTCATTGCTCAATATTGGGCTGCAGTCAATTGGTTTGATGAGGAAGCAAATGGATGATGAGCTTAAAGCAGCGATAGCCAAATGCAAGAATATGAAACAGCTTCGGGCAGCTGCAGAAAAGAATCCCACCATCAAAGATGGCATCCTCGATAGCAAAGCTCCTGTGAAAATACTCATGTCAAGTGTCTTTCACAGGCTTTCATTGAAAGAAAAGAAGATTGAATCCTTCGAAGCAGCTGCAACAGCCGAAATTGAAGAGTTGTTCTCAAACCTAAAGTCAGTGGACGAGGCGATTACAGCAAATATCAAGTGGGTCAAAGCAATACTACCGGAGTACCCGAAGATCAAGGCGTTCATTAAGCATTGCTGTCAGTTGAGGCATTACTCCTTCTGCATTAAAAAATGTGGCAAAAGTGGCTGCAAAATATGTAAGCCACCTCGTCTTCCTTCTGATATCTTTCAAGAAATCAAGTTTCTTCCTGATCCTGTACCAAACGCTGATGGTCACTACAAGCCATTCGAAACAGTTTATGGCAAACTGACAAGCGAGGAGCATCGTCCTACACTCCAGAAGCGCCCTGCAAGGTTCAAAACATTGCCATTTGTTGCCAGCGTGCAACATGCACGAAACACCAACATGATGATTCAGTGCGAAGAATGTGAGATGTGGCGATTAGTCTATTCAAAGTGCAAGTTAACAGCTGTTGAACGTTTACAGCTGGACAATGCCCTTTCCGAGTATACCTACACGTGTGGTGCAAACTTATCAGACCTTGACCTCAATGGCTGTTTGGCAGATGCATACATCAGAGATTTGCAATGCTATGATCCTTTAGAGAAGCTTTACTTTTCTATGAACAAGGATCCCATTTGTATTCATTGTTGTGGTTCTGCAAATCTCACGACAAAAGAAGGTTGTTATCCTCAGTGTAATGACTGCGACTCCAAACCACCTGTAAAGAAGCGCATGTAAACTTATGTACCTATATTCCTAATAATGTTCATATTGTGTTCCAGTGTTTCACGCATTTTGTTAAGTAGATGTATTTAGAAAGATCTATAATACAAAGAGCAATTAATACAAAGAAACATTAAGAAAGATTTATTATAAAGAACTATTTATAATATAAAGAGACATTAGGAAAGTTTTTTGTAAAATCAAGAACTATTTAAGAGAGATCTATTTAATACAGAGTAAATTTATTTCAGGGAGATTTTATATACAGACTTTATATTTGTTGTTACCTGTTGTGTTGTAATATACCTTGTACTTCGTTTTGTTGACGTGGTGTAACCAAGTTGCACATCAAAGATTTAAAACGATTACAGCTGTACAAAATGTACACACTACACAACGACTTCTGTATTTTCCGGTACGCACTATATTACACGCGCGCTTGTCCGGAAGAAATTTTCCTGAGGGGGAACACCCAGCCTATAATGGCATAATGGTAATGGCCGCCCGCCCGCGCCAACTTAAGCTGAAGCCCCGGATGAGAAACTAACATTCAACAAATAGTGGCCTTATGGTGAGGAACTATGTAGGGAAGACAACTCAGGGCTCATGGAGAGAAGAAAACATGAAAGAAGCCCTGGAAAGTCTTATAAAGAAACAGATGGGAGTAAGACAAGCAGCAAAAGCTTTCAATATTCCAAAAACATCACTGCACAGACGATTGAAACAGATAAACAATTGTGATGCTGGTGATAATAACATTGACAGCATATGCAAGAATATGCTAGGGCGATTTCGTAATGTGCTTTCAGATAGCCAGGAGAAAGAACTTAAAGAATACATAATTAATATGGATGCTGCATTCTATGGTCTGACTATCAGAGACATACAAGTACTGGTTTACGAATACTGTGAGAGAAACAACATAAAACATCCTTTCTCAAATGAGAAAAAGCTTGCCGGCGCTTACCAGATTTTGTCAGAGGATTTTTAAACCGCCATAAAGATTTATCTCTTTGCAAACCCCAGGGAGTTGCGCTTAATAGAGTTTTCGGCCTGAACAAGATTGCAGTGAAAAACTATTTCACAAACCTTGAAACAGTGTTGGATAAACACAAATTTGAACCACACCAAATTTATAATTGTGACGAGAGTGGGTTAACCTGTGTACACAAGCCTTCCAAAGTCATAGCACCAAAAGGAAAACATTGTGCATCATCTGTAACAAGTGCTGAAAAGGGTGTCACAACAACCATACTCTGTGCTGTGAATGCAACTGGCCACTATGTGCCACCAATGATGATTTTTAAACGGAAGAATAAGAAGGCATCTCTTACTGACCATGCTCCAGCAGGAACACTACAAGGTTGTTCAGAAAATGGCTGGATAAATTTTGGCCTTTTTCTTGACTATGTCAAACATTTTGTGAAGCATGTTAAGTGTAGTCCAATTAATCCAGTGCTCTTGATTCTTGATGGTCACAAGACCCATACAAAAAGCCTGGAATTAATTGACTATGCCCAAGAGAATGGTTTAGTTCTTCTATCCCTCCCACCACACACCTCCCACAAACTTCAGCCCTTGGACAGAGGGTTTTTTAAGCACTGAAAACCCACTTTAACAATGCATGCAGGGGTGGATGCGTAACCACCCGGGAAGAAGAATTCAGACAGAAACCTTGGGCGAGTTGTTCAATGAAGCCTACATAAAGTCTGCAAATTTAGAGAATGCATCAGCAGGTTTCCGTACATCCGGAATCGTACCCCTCAATTGTGAGGTTAACCCAAATGATGATTTCATTGAGGACCCTCGCCAAGCTGCATCAGCTCCACCATCCATTTTGGAGGATGATAACAACAGTATGCCAACAGCTGTACAGACACCACCAACAGCTGTGCCAACACCATCAGCAAGTGGAAATAGTCCAACAACCAGTGAAATCCCTACTGCCAGTGAAGTGAAAGCCCCACCACAGCAAATGTTACACCAGTCAGGGAAGAAAGCTGTAATACTTCATTCGAGAGCATTTTGAGTGTTCCAAAACTGGCAGTTCAACCAAAGAAGAGAGGTGAGACATCAGAAATCATTACAAGTTCTCCTTACAAGAGAAAACTAATAGCAGAGAAAGAAGCGAGTGAAAACAAAGCACCGAAACAACCAAAGACATGTAAAAAACAGTCAAAAAAAGGAAAGAAGGCAAAGACAAAGAAGCCAAAAGCAGCTAAGAAAATTTTAAAGAAGCTGGACACTGAAGATGATGGTAGTGATTAGATCTGCCCAATCTGTGATGGTCATTGGAAAGACACTGAAACTGATTGGGTGCAGTGCACTGCATGTAAAACATGGGTTCATGAGGAGTGCACAGTAGATGACATTTGCATTCTTTGTGAATGAACAGTAACTATTACTGATATCTATGTAAATATTTCTTAATACAGACTGAATATTTTATCTGTAGTTATTTCAGTAGTTGTAGTTAATTATTTCAATGCTAGTTGATTTTTTAATAATTTTGGTGGGAGTTTATGACACATGGGTGGGACTATACGTGTTTTACTTGATTTTACAGTATTTTAAATGAAAGTGCTGGTATTATTTTATCAGTAGTAAGAATAATTGTAATAAAAATAATTTTGGGCTGCTATATGACTTACTATCATCATTCTTTGAAAGGTAATTACCTGTCCCACTTTGCCCCAGTGACCGGGGAAAGTGGGACACCCCGACATCACACACTTTCATGTTTGAAGTTTGTGAACAGACAAGGCTAAGGTGATATTTCTGTCACATGACCACATATATGTAAAGGTTATTTGGGCAAAGTTTTGCCTCAATCACATTTGTCGTTGCGAAATTATATAACAATGAATGAAAAAGTGTCCCGCTTTGCCCCAGGTTACGCGTTACCTACTAATTTGTTTATAACGATTTTTGTGGTCAAAAGATTAAGGTTATTTTTGTCATCTTTACTTGTCTTATTTAACAATTCTTTGGTCCTTTTGCCAAGTTCATTGAAATTATATTGCCAAGTTCATTGAAATTATATTACGACACCCTGAAATTATATTGCGATGGTATTCGAATTCGCAAAGCTTAATACTTGAAGGAGAAGAAACAAACAGGATTAAAGATAAGCTACTCCCACTTGCTCAGCAAGACCCGAAGCCATTCAATCAAGACGAATTGTGCAATGAGTCAGAACTATCAAGCAATAGCTATATGAGCGATATCGATGAGGCTGGAGAGATCAATAACTCACATTTCCTTGAAGAAACGGTAAAAACTCTCGAGAGTAAGATAGCAAAAATATATGATGAATTTATAACCAACAAAGAGCAAACTAATAGACAAATCACAGACTTGAATGCCCAAATTTTGTCTCTACACCAGCAACAGCCTGAAAGACGACAAGACAATGCAAGCTCTCTGGAGTTTATTCATCACGAGAACTCAGCTTTAAAGCAAGAAAACACCATTCTCAGAGAAAAGATAGAAACCCTGACGACCAGTCTTTCAGCTCTAAACAACAAAATCAAATCTACGGATCAAGAGAAAGAAAGTCTACTGCCAGTCATTAGACTTCTCAATGAGGATCTGAAAAGGAAATCCCTTGTAACAAACCAACAAAGAAACAATGACCTGATGGCGAGAAGTAGCGAGGAGTCCTTCAGCAAGACGAAGCCTTCTCGAAAACGCACAACATCGCCAGCCGCAACAAATCCACTTATAACAACCCATCCCAATCACTTTAGTGCATTGCATGTACATGAAATAATCGAGAACGAGAATGAAGTTAACAAAAACTCAAGACCAAGTGAAGAAAGACCCACTGCTTCACCAAATGTCAATCTCCCAAAGCCAAAGACTTCAAACGACGGCCATAACAACAACCCCCAAAGACCCCACAGAAATCAACAACATCAACAATATAAGCCTCGTAATGTCCAAAGCACTAATCCCAATGGTGATATTAACAATCAGCAAGAACGAGCAAATAAAGTAACCGCGATCGTAGGAGACTCTATGCTAAAGTTTATTGATCCAAGAAAGCTCAGGCATAGCAGTAACCTTGATGTGGCAGTAAAAACCTTTCCTGGTGCAAGAACAGGGGATATGAATTACTATATCCAACCAACGCTCAACAAAAAACCAAAACAATTAATCATACATGTTGGAACCAATGACCTATTGTCTAAATCCCCAAAAGAAGTCGTCAAATCAATCGCTGCTCTTGGAGAAGCAATCATGACTAAAGCTCCTGATGTTGAGCTGACCTTTTCAGAAATCATAGCAAGAAAAGATCACAAAGATTCTGCTGATAAGGTAAATGTAGTTAACGATCGTTTAGACAAGCTATGCACACAGAAAAACTGGGGCCTTATCACACATAAAAACATTAAGAATATACATTTAAATGCCTCAGGCCTGCATTTGAACAGACAGGGTTCAGCAATGCTAGCCAGAAATATTAAGACTCATCTTTTATTATCTAACTCTACTTATAATTGACTAAACTATTCAAAACAAAACAATAATATAACTGATAATAGCACTTCTGTTGATCCAACATGTTGTTCCATTAGGAAAAACCAAAAGAAACCATTACAAGCGAACGAGCCTTACCCAAAACTAAAGAGATTTAAAGTCGCGAATTTAAACATAACTAGTCTGCCAAAACATATTGATGAACTTAGGTTATTTATGAAAGAAATATCATTCGATATACTCTGTCTAAACGAAACAAGACTAGATAATACAATAAATGATAGCATTATTAAAATACCAGGTTATGATATTGTGCGAAGAGACCGAGATCAAAATGGTGGGGGCGTTGCAATATATATAAGAACTACCATTAATTACAAAAACCTTATTGAACTTATCCCAGTGAATTTAGAAGCTATCTGTATAAAAATTCATAAACCTAAATCAAAACCAATCATAATTGGTACATGGTATCGCCCACCAAATTCTAACAAAACCTTATTAGACAACTTTGAAACGTTACTGCAAAACCTAGAGGATACAAATTTAGATCTCATCATTACTGGCGATCTAAATTGCGATATGCTGACCAAAAACCCTAGTAACAACACAAAACGACTATCTGATTTAATTAACGAATATCAATTAAAACAACATATTACAGATCCAACTAGAATAACTGCAAAACCTAGAGGATACAAATTTAGATCTCATCATTACTGGCGATCTAAATTGCGATATGCTGACCAAAAACCCTAGTAACAACACAAAACGACTATCTGATTTAATTAACGAATATCAATTAAAACAACATATTACAGATCCAACTAGAATAACGCAAACGTCACAGACTTTAATTGATATTATAATGACGAGAGCTTGCGACACCAAAATCACTGACTCTGGAGTAATACATCTAGAATTAAGCGACCATAGTTTGACATACATCTGTCGTAAAGTGGGAATTCCAAAAACAGAGCCAAAAATAATTGAAACAAGACAGTTCAAATACTTCAACTCTGCTACCTTTCAATACGATCTGAAAATGGGATTTCAAGAAAACTATAATTATTATAACTATACTGACCCGAACCAGGCATGGAAGGTATGGAAAACGATCTTTCTTGATATCGCAAATATACATGCTCCTCTTCGGATCCGTAAAGTAAAAAGCAACACTGCCCTTGGATGACAAATGAAATTAAAAACTTGGCGTATCATAAATTCTATTTGAAACAAAAAGCAATCAAATTTAATTCCTCCAATTATAACGAAGCCTATAAGTGCTGCCAAAACAAGCTAAACAAATTAATTAAAGAAACTAAGGCTCAATATTACAATACTAAGCTACAAAACAGCAAAAACAGTAAAGAGGGATGGAATACACTAAATAATTTACTAAATAGGAAAACGAAATCTACGGTTGTAAATGAACTCAGTGCAAGCCACAGAAACAAAGTGTCACAAGACAAAGATATAGTCAATGAATTTAACAAATACTTTACTTCTATAGGCCCTAAATTAGCAAACAACATTCCTGACCATAGTAATTATCCCGACCCCCTGTCATATATAAATCGGGTAACAGACATGTTTTACTTTCATAATATATCAGCTTATGATTTGAAAAACGAAATTACAAATTTGGAGATAGGAAAATCAACAGGTTTAGATAAAATTTCCACTAAACTAATAAAACAAGCAGGCGATACGATAATCCAATCACTTCTGGACATATTTAACCTATCCCTTAGGACAGGTATATTTCCAGATGATTGGAAACTTGCAAAAGTTACCCCAATATACAAATCGGAAGACAAGACTCTTTGCGAAAATTACAGACCAATATCAGTTATTTCGAATATAGCTAAGTTATTTGAAAAATTAGTTAGTAAACAGCTGAATACATATCTGGAAAAAATGATATAATTGTGAGCAATCAATCAGGTTTCCGTCGAAATCATTCAACCGAAACCTCATTATTACAATCGACAGAAATGTGGTTGAAATCGATGGACCAGGGTCTGATAAATGGGGTTATATTCCTAGATTTAAAGAAAGCCTTTGACACGATTGATCATCAGATTCTTCTATCAAAACTTGAAGTTTATGGGATAAGAGAT